AAAACAGAGATAAAATCCTCAGATACAACAGAACAAGGAGGTCTATTTGAACTTGGAAGGGCAGTATTATGGTCAGGAGATCACAGACTAACAGAAAAAGATAATAAAAAATTTATTGGAATAGATGGATAAATAAATTCCTTCCAATGAAATTGATTGCTTCACAACACGTACTTGTAGCGTTCAATTTTCTCAAAATGTCAGATATAAATAACTTCGATATTTTCTTTCGAACGATGTAAGTTTCAGTTACTTACAATCTGTCGTTCAGTATATATCAAAATTCCCAGCAATATGTAGCAGATAAGGAGCTGTGCAAAGTTGACGATATGCAAAAAGGTGTCGTCGGTGACTTTTTCACCTTGGAACCTCCTAATTTCTACCTCGAACGCTACCCGATAATCCACCTACCATCTACCATCTACCATCCACACGCTACCCGATAAATGGTCAACTACCAAGATGCATCAGGAGGATGACTCTGGTGTTGAAATTTTTGATTATTTTTCATGCCTAACTTATTTGCTTAATACCTCAATGTATTCTTGACAACCTCCTGAACTGATATTCGTCCATAAACTTTCCTTTTATCCCCAAAATAGAAACGTCCTTTTATGCTGCTAACTGGCATTTCCACCAAGGCTTCACTGTTACAAGACATAAGGTTTCTTTAATTTTAAAATAAAAATCAATAAATACAATAAATAAAAAAAGAAAATTAAACTTAAATTACATAAATTGCTGAGGCAAATATATATATATAAAAATTTTTTTTATTAACATATTTTTAATAAGAAATATTTTTCTGATTATGTCATTTCAGTTCTCTTTCCATAAGTTTTCGCTTATCTTTCATAAATTTTTATGTATTCTCCGCTCTTTCTTTTCGGAACACATCTGCTTTCTGCTTTACTGGCATGTCTGTTTTTATCCATAAAGCAAACACTTGGTCTTATTTATAAAATTCTGGATAGGTTATACAGAACATGGAACTGCATGGATCATTGTAGTGGCTCTAACTAGAATACTTTAAAAATGCAAAACAAAGCATTGTTTATTGATAACGGGAAATTTGGACTCAATTTAGCCACGTTTATCCATTCGTATATCCTAATTGATCATGTCTATCCGTCTGTCTATTTCCTATATCGGCGAAATTATGGATTGAACCAGCCATATCCATCCGTCTGTCCGCTTGTTGTGTCATTGAAATCCTGCACCTATCTAGCCGCAGCTTTTCGGCCGTCTATTCTGTATATCATCAAAATTGTAAGTCAATTCAATCATGCCTAGTCATCTGCCCGCCTCGTACATAGTTGAAATCCTGCACCGGAACATACAAAAATCACGACTATTATATGTACTTAACTGAGTGTCCTTGTCATTTTCCTGCCAAACTTTCAAAGTTCTCTTTCCTTTGGTGAACTTTTCTAGCCAAATCCTCGACCTATTCAAAAGTACTATAAGTAAAAAATTATTTAAAAAACTATATTTAAAAAAAATTTTTTTACTTTACAATCATTTTACTCTCTTTGCCATTTTGAATATATTTTACGCCCTTTTTAGCTTTGGCACGAAGCTACAAGTTGAGAATTTGTGTGAAAAATTGCAACTATTGCAGTCTTACAGAGAACAGGCTGATGGCTGAACGGACAGAGGGACAATCTTAATCTTAGTTTGATTAAGGGCACTACATACACATAAATCTGTAGTGTTTCGTGCATATATCATTGTACTCCAAAAAGGAAGTCATGCCATACAAACGAAACTTATGTCTGACCAGTCTCTTAGCTACTAATTGGAATCAATGAGGAAAGTGTGCCGAAGCGGAGGCTGCTAATAGTTTACGAGCTAAAGAAATATCACCAAACAAAATCCGAACATTTCAATAATTTTTTATCAATTACTTCAATATTAAAGTAGGCTCTGCTACGATAACCATTCTTGCAACTTAATAATGTGCCAGCGATATGTAACATACTTCCATTTCGAAGAGAATGTAAGAAGAGAGTAAGCGCATATCTTAAACATGAATAGAAAACAGAAGCAGTTCCTCCCTCTTATCTCTTGTCTAAAGAGCATACTTCTCTTATTTTATCTTTCTTCTCTAAAAGTATGCAAGAAAGCAACGGAGCACGGAAACAACAGCAACAACAAACAGAATTAGAGAGTTAATTAAATATTTCGGAAATTATTAACAGGAAAAAAGCATGAAAAGGCAAACCGCCCATAATATAAAAGGCAACTAACTATATCTGCAAAATTTATTATATGAAAGACTAAATAATATAACTAAATAAAATTTTCACTATTTTATAGAGACAATCTGAGACTGTATTAGGAAATAATCATTCTAACCCTTAATCGGCAATGCGGAAAGTAATTAAAAGTTCGATTGGCGCGACATATATGTAAGCTAACAAGTATTATACAATACGAAATGGAAATTTTCACGCCCTTCTGCAAAATAACCTGGCCGGGAATATTGCGTTTTGCGTTATCTACACGCGTTTCAACTCTTTTTGACGAGAACAAAATAAAATTCATATCAATGCAATGTTGAATGCCTATGTATACATATTTAACACAAGTAAATATGTATAAATTACACAAAAAATGAGATGAATTTGTTATTTAAACCTCGAGGCCTACTAGGAAGTCCTGAGATTTTTTTTTCATTCGTGTGTTGATGCTGATGTTTTTGACATCCATGTAGACACTTTCATGTCATTGTATTCAATTGCTACAGAGTGACATCTATTTTGGGTAGGCATATGTAAAAGTGAGTTTTTCGATTTTTATTGCCGATGCCTGAGAGGCAATGATTTCTGACTACCATGACCCCAAGAACCGCGCCATTAAGAAAGATGACACTTGAATAGGTGCATGCGAGTCCGGAAAAAGGTACGAAAAGCAAGAAGGAGAAGGCCGCGGCAAAGCCGCTGAAAAATCACGCCCATACTTTTCTTCGATTAGGGCAGAATTTCTTCTGTCACCTCAACCTGCTAATAAGAAACTGAGCAACTAGGGAGCGACTATTTGAGTGATGAGAAGGCGATAAAATTAATTTGGAAGAATAATTAAAACAGTGCCATTTTATAAACAAATTTAATCTATCTTTGGATCAAAGTAGTATTTGCCTTGGAAATTACTTTGTATTTTTATATAGACCCACATCAATATCTTTTAAACTTGTTAAATACATTGTCATTTTTGAAGCCCTTCTTGTGTTGTCATTCTTATGGGCATCTTATGGAAGCGATTGTGGCAAGGATTAAATTTGGTGAATGGAATCAAAGTATAGATAGATCTTATAAGCTTCTGTGTGTTGGCCCAACTTGAGCCCACTATTGCTGTTCAAAATTTAAATATAGGAGCAGATGGTTGCTTCACTGGCAAAAATGTACATGTTTTTCATGTCATGGGATTTCCGCTCCTAAACTGAAATTTTCTCTTTGAAATTTCGAGGGTTTTTCTCAAACGAGTTTAAAAAATACCTCCGGGATTAAAAAGCAAATTTGCTTACGAACTTCTAGTTGTATGCCATAGAAGCGTTGAGGGCTGAATTTCCTAAGAACACGGCAGGCGTTTATTCGTGGCGTGTCACTTAAAACCAGCAGTCCACTTTGGATATAGATGTTCGTCTTTTTCCATTTACATATAAGCAAATGCCTTATTACAAATCGATTGACTTGTCTTCAAGGCATATCTACTAAAAAAGTGATTGGCAAACAACTTTAGTCTTCAAATTCAAATTAAAGGGACTTGAGGAATACATTTTCTACGATAGCATCTCTTTAACTAGGGCTTGAAAAATATTTAATAATAATATTATTTTGACTTTGCATGGCTTCAGAAATCCTTTTAAAATCAGAGATTGTCAACAATGTCCACATAGTCACTCAAGGCGATACTTTAATCTCTGATATTGCATTGAATAAATGTCAATCGGCAGTGAAACATCGAATGTCAACCATGCTACCGCTTAGTACTTCCATTCGGCAATGGAAGCAAATCCGCATAATACCTAATATCATTGAAGGAAAGTAATGCAGGATGCTCCCTTTAATGTTGCAATCCGGAAGTGAACGTCAATCCATAACGTAAGCTCACAATAACCACGAATTTTCGAATCAGAAAACAAACATCAGTTCGATCCATGACCGCAGCGAAAATTTTACTTAATTAATTGTTAAAATTGAAAAACGATATCGATCCGTGATTTATCTTATATAGGCCGTCGGCTATGGTCACTCTCCATTACAGACTTCAACGCTAGAATACGAAAAGGGATGTTTAAACCTTGATATCTCGGATAGAAGATGCTCCCGTTAATATTTGAATCCCTGAGTCAGATAATTGCCAATATCCGACCCAATGGTAAGAGATCCCATTCCTTAACCTTAACCTCTGACGTTGAAAGTAAATTTCAATCTCTTATGTTCACAATTATCGATGACTGCAATGACTCTCTTCCTCTTTAATCCTTCAATTAGATGTCAGTTAATCCACAATAGTTAATACAAGTAATGGATACCGATCCCTACCCTCGAAAGCTTAATATAAACACCAATGCCTAAATTTCCTAATATCGAGAAGAAAAGCTTCCTTAAATTTCTCCCTATGTACATCGATATCAATTCCCAATATCGGATAGATTTCTTATTCCTGTCGTGCCGGCAATGAATAACACCCGCCAATGTTCATCATCCTGACGCAATAAATGAAATCTGTCCAGCGGATCACTTAAGTGTCCAGGGTAATTACGTGTACTCCAAAAGATGCATTAGCAACGATTTAAATTTCGGAAATCGAGAAAAGAATTCGGAAATTGTTAATCAGTTGCAATTAATGCCTTGTTGTTGCTAAGATTTTCCAAAGGCTTATAACTGAATTTTTCGTTACTCACAAACAAGTTTTCTCTCTTCAAAAAAAAAAATCTTTTAAAAATTAACAAAAAAAATAAATAAATAAATCAATGAAAAGTCTAGTAAACTTACCTAAAGTTACCAACATGATAGGCGACAACGGCTCTTGCCCTGAGTACGGCTTCGCAATTTAATATTTCATGCATGCTAGGCAAGGCTACCGGCAGACTCCAGAGGAATCTGGCTAAGCGTTCAATATCGCCGGAATCCTCCAGGGTTTTGCAAACGATTTCCACTTGTGCCGCAGAGAAGGCCAATGTTGGTACAGCTAAAATTGGACTCGGTGCTATAATCTGATGTGGGGCAGGCGAGAATGTCTCTGATGGAGGTTGTTGTTTGCCCTCCGTCGGTCCAACGGCCATTTTATTCGTTGAATCCACTGTGAACCAAATCGCATACTACACTGGTGGCACAATTATGAAAAGTCTTCGTTTTGGATTTAAAAGCAAAAATTAAACGAACAAAAAAAAAAAGACGAAAACAACGTTTTTCAAGAATATTTCATGAAACACAACACACAGACAAAGTTTAGGCGATTAGTTAGTTAGTTATGCTTATTAAAGAGAAGATTTCACAACACTTGATTATATTTTCTTTTTTTGTTACGATTTTTAAAATATTCTGTTAAATTATTATTCATTTGTCAACTTTGAAGGACTTTTAAAAAAATTCCTTTTGTTTTTTTTTTTTTTCTTATTAAATTAAATTTATTTATTTATTATTATTTAAATATTTAACAATAAAACACAGCAGATAAATTACACAGTTTCTATGCTTGTTAAAGATAGCGGCGGTAATCTCGCTTACATATGATAGCAGTTTCCCGTCCACGGTGTACATGTACAATCACAACTAGCTAATGATACCGACTATTGACCGTTAGACAACTAATAAAGTCACCATTCTCTCGCTAAACGCTAAGCGATACTGAAAAACGCGTACCTACATACGAATTCACACACACACACACACACACACACACACACACGCATAACCTTATATTCATATGCATAAACAATTGCACACATTAGGTGTGCATAAGTATATGTAGATGATAAGCATAATGAAGATGGTGACGATGGCGACGACGGTGGCGACGACTATAGTCAGCTGCCATCACTGTGCAAAAATCGTTGCACACTGTGATTTGTTATGTTATGCTGGGGTATAATGACAAACTAGCTCCAAGTGGCTGAATACCAATAAGGCTATGCTGGCGAAACTGATACGAAATGTATACGACGAGTGTTGGTTAAATGGTTAAGCAGGCAGCGAGGGGTTAAGCCGGACCCAATTCAGTCGTGATATTATGAAATCCGTCCATTATATCTTTCTTGTTTTCTGGTTTTGTTTTTTTTTTTTTTTTTTTTGCTTTTTCTTTTTTTATTTTTCTCTTTTCCTTTATTTTTTTGCTTATTTTACTAGCCGCCGCAATGCTACCAATAATTTTTAGTATTTTTCTATCTATATACTGCAATAGCACTAATACAATAACAAAAACAGGAAGAACAACAACAGCAATAGCACGATCAAGAACCGATGATACGGGTATAAAAACGATACCACACAACCACGATGCCAAACAATGAGTATAATAGTATCATGAAACCAAAACGAACGCGAAATTATTTTTTGTTGTTGTTATTAAACTTTTACATTTAAGTATGCTTGTATATATCAATAAAAGCACGCCACGCACATATACATATATATATATGTATATATACTTATATATAAATATATATATATATATATCTACAATTACGTTCACTTTATATAAAACGTTTACTGATGCGCTTCAGTACGGAATTAACTCATCACCGTTCCAATAACAGATTGTATCTGAGAGTTAAATGAATGCAAACAACAAAACTCTCTACAGCATTGTATATGAATGTGTTTGTGTGTTTGTGTGAATGCGTGTTTATGCCAGTGTATGTACGCGTATATATGCATATGTATTTCATTGTATACAAAACATAAGCAGCCAAGAACAATGGGGCGTAGCCAATTTTATAAAAATCATTCAAGTTTGTCTAGCCGTCCTTTTCCCTCTTGACGCCATTTGTAATATTGTTAATATTGTAATAAAATTGAATAATGTCGTGTTTCTTGGTATCATACTAACTCTTTCTAACATTAATATGAATGCGTGTTTGGGTTCGTTGATATCCAAAATGACAGACAGATTGCTTATACAAATTTCATAATGATATGACAGACTACGTACGAAACATATGCTTGCATATATGTGTATGTATGTTAGCACATATAAGAGTGTTTGTGGCGTTAGTTGATTGTAGCGACTTATCAATCAATCATGCTGTCTATCAGCTAGTCAGTCAGCCAGTCAACCAGCCAGTCAGCCAACCAGTCAGTCAACCAGTCAGCTCAGGCAGGCATTCAGCTATTGAGCCGTTTACACCGTCTCGGCGACAGTGTTATTGTGCGACCAAATCCTTGTTATTATTGCTGCTACATTAGACTTTGGCTGGGTGAGATCTCTTCACTTTTATGTTTCATTTCCATTTTTTTTTTTTATTTTTGTTTTTTTTTTTTTTTTTTGATAATTCATTAACGGATTGCGAATATATTTTCCCAAAATAACTGTAACTACAATAAGAATCATCTGCAAGTGTGCGATGTTACAGTGATCAGATATAAATTTAAATTCGAAGAAAAAATATTATATACTCAGCCGTTCAACAAATAACTCCATTTTCCTAAACCGAAGGTGCTTATACACGTTTCCTTTATTCAATTTCTGCTTCTTCTATGTTATATATAAGAAGTAGAGTATAGTAAGAAGTAGATGCGGCTTAATACTTTCTGAACTAACTGATACTCTTCAAATATGAAAATCTGTTACTGAATAGACTGAGCAACAATTACGAAAACTGGATTAGACGTGTACTTTAATTTGGCTCAACACTTTTTGGGTTAGTCATTATTTGATTAAACTTCACTTAAGTCCTTTACTCAATAGAGTAAATAAGACCCACGGAAGCGGCATTGTGTGCATTCATTAATCGGCTCAGTTGTTTCTAGACCTAATAAATTTTTTCGAATATCAAAATCTTTTACTGAGGAGATTTCATAACAGCTACAAACGCTTCAATGGTCGTTTTCATTAACAGGCTCAATACATTTTAGACTAACTAAAATTTTTTAAATATTAAAAGCGTTTTTTTTACAAAATGAATAAAACATGCGCTAGATGTTTGTGTGAATAGACTCAATACTCTTTAGCATAGCCACTATTCAACTATTGCACTCAAATCGATTACTGAGTAAAGTGTAATGAAATTCTATCGGATTTAACCGTTTGAGTCCCAGACGATATTGAAAAAACACTGTCGAAGAATCCCAAACAACGCGATCGCGCTGTTTAGATTTTATGTCGAGAAAACCCAGACGGTATTGAAAAAACAGTACGATCGCGCTGCTTGGGACTCAAACGGTTAACGAGAACGTTACTCAATAACTGCTTGAAATGATTGTTATGAACGTCTTATTGGAACGAGCAAAATCATTATTAACTCTAGCCCTTATGTGACTTATTGAACATCCATTATAGACGATGCGCTTATGACAATATACTACCATCTTTGTTTCATTATAGTTGTTCCGATTTTCCAGTCATGTGTGACTCAACATCTTATTCTCTAATTGGAGAAGAGAAATTGATGTCTCGGAAAAATACACCCTAACATATACCTAAGCATAAAATTGAATATGACCTTTTCGACTGATCAGATATATATTGTCATCACTGTTTTTTCTTTGTTATTGTTGTTGTTGTTGTTATTGTATCTTTTGTGTAGAGTTAGCTTCGGTCGGTATTCTTTCTTTTTCTCGCAATGACATGCGTCAGTTGCCTACTATAGGAAATACCAAAATTTTTTTGATGTCATTTTTTTCTTAAGAAATGTTAAGGTATCGTAGCATTAAGCAAGGATTTGAATTCTCTCAATTACCTTTTGCTATCGATATGGGTAATATAAGTAATCTTGATAAAAATTTTGAAACGCAAAAAGCTTAAGATTATAAGCAATGCAATAAAACAGCAAATCAAAAAAAAAAAAAAAAGCAAAGAATATTAACAAAAATCTTTTAATACATTTTTCGTTCTTTTTTCCATAGGGATTCACTGTGCAACTAAACAATGTATCATTATTGTGGCAAAAATGTTAAAACATTAACAATCCCTGAATGGTTGGGTATCGTTGTGCAGCTAACGTTGGTGCTGCTGCTGCTGCTGTTGCTGCTACTAGAACAACGGCTTTATCAGAAAATTTGATGTTGTTCGTATAAAGGCGTTGCACACAATACTCGAGTAAAAGCAAAAATAGTATTAAATGAATGTATCTACAGACGTTTGTACGGGTAATGCACGTATAACTGCCAAGACCATATAAATAAAATCCACTACTGTGCCGCCTGGACAGGAGGGTAAAGATATAGATATAACGCAATATACAAAGAGTATGAGTTAAAGCAACAAAAACACCGTAAGTTATGCTTAAGTATAATATGACGAAAGAGTAAAGAGTACCGCAAATCGTCGCAAAACAGTGGTTGCGTTTTGTGTTTAGAACTAAATGAAATGGAATGATACACAACAATTTCATGAAATGTATGCAAAAAGAACAACAACAACAACAACAGCAATAAGAATATAGTGTAATAGATTGTGTATAAGAAGGAGCATAAGATATATAAACTCATACATGTACAAACACCGTATCGTATAACATATTGTCAGAGTGTTAACGATTAGTTGTTTACATGCCACTAGAGTAACTGAGCATTGTTTTTTTTTTTGTTTTCGTGCTTTTTATTAACTCTACTCACGCATTTCATATATACTTTGTCTCTCAACGCCCCTCTCTCACTCTTTCTCTCTTTCACAACCAATCTCTCGCTCCCTCTCTCTTTATCTCTCTCACTCTATTACTCTCTCTTTCTCTTTCTACCTCCCCTACTGTTTTTTATCTTTATTATTTTTGATATTTACGGCTTGTGCATGTACTACACGCCTAAAGCGCATACACACAAACACTACGTTATGCGCGTGTGTGTATGTGTGCATGACGTTCTGACTGCTACCCTTCTTCTATTCGATCATTACTTTAGCTTAGCGTACAGGATTTATATAAATACTAAAGTATAGCTTTACCAAGCTTTATATGTAGTAGAGATGACAGTCGTCTTATTAAATCTGAACGATGCTGATGACGATGACGATGACGATGACGATGACTTTTTAAGTACATGCTATACATTGAGCATTTAATGTAATTGCATTACCATACCTATGTACTTATAAAGCAGGGTATACAGCAGCACTCTTTTACTTTATTATGATTTTATATATTTTTCTACTACTACTGTCAGTTTTCAACTACTTTCCATGCTGTTCCAGCAATTGTCACAATTGCTACTGCCTGACGCTGTTGTTTATCCTTATGCGTTGATGCTGATTACGATGTTACCGATGATGATTGGTTATGGTATTCTGCTGTATAACGATAAAGCACGTTTTTGCATACAACACGTAATGAGACGAATATCTTTTAAATCGTTTCATTAGTTCGGACGCGATTGTCTTGTTCTAATGAAAATCTAACCGCACTTTGCAAATATTTGGATTCGTTT